GGGGGGCTGCCGGGTAGCCTGCCGGCAGGGCTGCTCATGCTGCTGCTCTGCTTGCCGCCCCCTCACTCGGACATTATTAATGGTGATGCTCAGTGTTGTTCGGGCGGCACGGCGGCGAATACAAACAGCCCCGGGCCGCCGCGGCCCCCCAGGAGTGAGTCGTGCTGCTCATGGTCATACTGCTGGTGGTCATACTGCTGGTGGTCATGCTCCTCATGGCCATGCTGCTGGCGGCTCACCTTTTGCGACACGCTGCAGGATGAGGTCGCGGTGCTCGGCCGAGTGCGGCTCGCCGATGATGATGAGCAGGTAGCCGCCGGAGAGCGGCGACGGCGGCGGATGTGCGCCGACGTTGGCCGGGACGACGGGCGGCGCCTGGTCCTCCTCGGAGGCGGCCGGCGCGACGGCGGTGGGGGCTTCGGCGCCAGCATCTGCAGCAGCAGCGGCCTCGTCGGGGGGCGGGGCCCCGTCCTGCCCGGGGGGCGGCCCGTCCTGGGCGGGGGGCGTCGTGCCCCCGCCGTCCCCAGGAGGGGCGTCCATGGCCCCCGCGCTCTACCCCTCCGGCTGAGCTGGACGCTGAAACATTAAAGCGGAATGTTACGGCCGGAGTGATGACCTGGGCGCCGATGACGACACCGTGAATGACGTCCGCGACGACGCCGCCGAACTGTTTGGAGCGGGGTTGGGGGCGGGGCAGCGACAGTTCGGGAGAATCATGAACAGTAGCGAGTGCACAGGGCAGGCAGAGCACAAGCGCAGACACCTACATCGAGCACACGCGGGTGAGTGTGAGAGGAACAGTACATGGTGGCCCGGCGCGGCCTGAGTCCCGCGAGGCTGCTTCGCCTGCTGCTCGGTTTCCTCCGCGCTCCGCGCGAGTGAATCAGAGAGGGACACCGAGCGTGAGCGCGCGGTGGCGTGGCACAGAATCGCCTTTTCGGAAACAGAGCCGCGATAACGAGAGCATAAAGACGCTAATCAATTTCTCGTATATACGCGCCGTAGTTAACCGCTCGCTCATGCGCTGCCGCCGCCGGCGCGTTTTTCATTTTCATTCACTAATTAGACGGATAGGAGGATGGGTATCTCAGCAGAGCGGCTAGCTATAGCTGCAGCGTACCCGCGGTGCGGTACCCGCCCTCCGGCTCGGCTCTTCTGGAGCGAGAAAACAGGCGCGCGGAACTTGGCTCAGTTTTGCATACCGCCGCTTGGCGCAGCTCCCCGCCTCACCGCCCATCTGCAGACGTACAGGCGGCCGCGGTCAATAAGGGGCCACTGTTTCACGGGGCGTCGCTCGCGCCTCTGCAGATTCGCACTCATTCACAACGCGGCGAGGACCCGACTCTCCTCTGCCCCTCTGCTCCTGCACGCAGAGCGATGCCCGCCGGGTGAGGTTAAGTCAGCCTGAGATGCAGCCTACCTGGAGAGGTAACTTCTTGAAATGCGTCACGATGGCATCATCAATTTGACGTCACTGGTCAAAATTTCGTCATCTTAACTGGTCGAAATGACGTCGCGGATACATCACAATTTGACGTCAACGTGGTGTCCGAGGTGATGTATATCATTTATGGCGGCAAATAGACTTTTTTTTTTTTTTTTTTTTCCTCCATTTGAAGGTTAGATGATTAGAAGAAGAAAAGAATAACAAACCGGAAAAGCACTGCCTTCTAATCGCCCCCCACCCTCCGTCCATCTTCACACCTCGCACAACTGTCTCCTGTTTCGGTTATTCTTTTCCTCTTCTTGTCACCGCGACTGAAGTGGTCTATTGATCCATCCTGACCAAGTTCTGTCCTTTGGGTCGGGCACAGCCTTGGGGGTGACAGACGCACACGCGCGGGTGCAACCGAAGCGCGCGCGCGCGCGCGGCCCGTGGGCGTCACGGCCCGCGGGTCACATACGACCGGATCAGGTGCGCTCCGCTCCGCCGTCGGCCACGCGCGGCCGCGCCCATACCGACCGCCGATGGTATCGGCTGGACTTAGAGGCTGAGCCTGCGCAGGCTGCGCGTGCGGAAGCGGGCAGGGTTATGCGATCACGGCCAGCGGAGACCTCGGCGTCGTGTTTTGTCGCCTCTCTCGGATTACAATGCATACACATACGCAACTGCACAGTCGATGGGCCCCGCGGGGCCGGGGCCGATGCTAGCTGCTCGATGAACATTCACCCGCCGCATGACAGGCTCCTCCCCCCCCCCCCTTTCACCCTCCTCCTCCCGTGAGAAGAAGGGCGACACGGGACACGGGTGCTCCGGTGTGCGGTGTGAGTGTGCAATGCGATTGCCAAGCTAACCTCACATGCTGAAGGGCAAAACTCAGAACGGCCGAAAGGCCAATCAGTTCTAATAACGAAAATAATGGGTATCTTTCGAAGAAATGATAAGGGAGCCAGAAGGGAAGGATGACGTATTCTGATAAGGCCTTCCTTTATATTTGCAAACTATCAGGTGGCTGGTTCACGCCGCGCACTTCTGTAGTTATGCTGTACCGCGCATGCACGAGTGCGGGCGGGTTGCCTACTCGCTCGGCTCGTAAGGCGCCTTGGACAGGGGCGATAGACAAGCCCGCCCGCACTCGTGCGTGCGGTACAGTATACCTACAGAAGTGCGCGGCGTGAATCAGCCACTTGATATCTCATATATCTTTTGCTCTAAGTTTAGTTGCAAATATGGTAGAAACAGAGTATGCGCTCTGGTTCAGGTCTTCTATGAGGGCGTTGTGTGAGCAATATCTGTACGGACTTTGTGTGTTTCGTGGATCGAACCCATTTTCCTGACGGATGACCAATTCCTTGAACAGATTTGGTTTTAGGCGACGTAAGGGAATGGATGGCAGTGGTAAGGTCGCAGGAGGTACGAGGGGGAGTGGGGTGATTGGAGAATTAAACCCAGAGTGACCCCACTTGCGGATGGCGATTGGACGGACGTCAGGCCGAGCAAACACCGGTTAGCTTGTCCCTAATAGCACCGCCGCGCCCCCGCCGTCCGCTCCCC